GAGATGTAATCGATCCCGGATATGAAGGATACATTGTAAAATTGATTTTCGTGAAAAAAAAGTGGTCTTGATTTGAAGAAAAATTGAGTATTTTAATTTTCAAATTTCCATGTTCGTTTCGTATAGGTAACTTTCGCTCCATCTGGTAGGCTTAATATGCCCCGGCCACGAGATGTAATCGATCCCGGATATGAAGGATGCATTGTAGAATTGATTTTCGTGAAAAAAAAGTGGTGTTGATTTGAAAAAAAATTGAGAATTTTAATTTTCAAATTTCCATGTTCGTTTCGTATAGGTAACTTTCGCTCCCTCTGGTAGGCTTAATATGCCCCGGCCACGAGATGTAATCGATCGCGGATATGAAGGATACATTGTAAAATTGATTTTCGTGAAAAAAAAGTGGTGTTGATTTGAAGAAAAATTGAGTATTTTAATTTTCAAATTTCCATGTTCGTTTCGTATAGGTAACTTTCGCTCCATCTGGTAGGCTTAATATGCCCCGGCCACGAGATGTAATCGATCCCGGATATGAAGGATACATTGTAGCATTGATTTTCGTGAAGAAAAAGTGGTGTTGATTTGAAAAAAAATTGAGAATTTTAATTTTCAAATTTCCACGTTAGTTTCGTATAGGTAACTTTCGCTCCATCTGGTAGACTTAATATGCCCCGGCCACGAGATGTAATCGATCCCGGATATGAAGGATGAATTGTAGAATTGATTTTCGTGAAAAAAAAGTGGTGTTGATTTGAAAAAAAATTGAGAATTTTAATTTTCAAGTTTCCATGTTCGTTTCGTATAGGTAACTTTCGCTCCCTCTGGTAGGCTTAATATGCCCCGGCCACGAGATGTAATCGATCCCGGATATGAAGGATACATTGTAAAATTGATTTTCATGAAAAAAAAGTGGTGTTGATTTGAAGAAAAATTGAGTATTTTAATTTTCAAATTTCCATGTGCTTTTCGTATAGGTAACTTTCGCTCCATCTGGTAGGCTTAATATGCCCCGGCCACGAGATGTAATCGATCCCGGATATGAAGGATACATTGTAAAATTGATTTTCGTGAAAAAAAAGTGGTGTAGATTTGAAAAAAAATTGAGTATTTTAATTTTCAAATTTCCATGTGCGTTTCGTATAGGTAACTTTCGCTCCCTCTGGTAGGCTTAATATGCCCCGGCCACGAGATGTAATCGACCCCGGATATGAAGGATACATTGTAAAATTGATTTTCGTGAAAAAAAAGTGGTGTTGATTTGAAGAAAAATTGAGTATTTTAATTTTCAAATTTCCATGTGTGTTTCGTATAGGTAACTTTCGCTCCCTCTGGTAGGCTTAATATGCCCCGGCCACGAGATGTAATCGATCCCAGATATGAAGGATGCATTGTAGAATTGATTTTCGTGAAAAAAAAGTGGTGTTGATTTGAAAAAAAATTGAGAATTTTAATTTTCAAATTTCCATGTTCGTTTCGTATAGGTAACTTTCGCTCCCTCTGGTAGGCTTAATATGCCCCGGCCACGAGATGTAATCGATCCCGGATATGAAGGATATATTGTAAAATTGATTTTCGTGAAAAAAAAGTGGTGTTGATTTGTAGAAAAATTGAGTATTTTAATTTTCAAATTTCCATGTGCGTTTCGTATAGGTAACTTTCGCTCCCTCTGGTAGGCTTAATATGCCCCGGCCACGAGATGTAATCGATCCCGGATATGAAGGATGCATTGTAGAATTGATTTTCGTGAAAAAAAAGTGGTGTTGATTTGAAAAAAAATTGAGAATTTTAATTTTCAAATTTCCATGTTCGTTTCGTATAGGTAACTTTCGCTCCCTCTGGTAGGCTTAATATGCCCCGGCCACGAGATGTAATCGATCCCGGATATGAAGGATATATTGTAAAATTGATTTTCGTGAAAAAAAAGTGGTGTTGATTTGAAGAAAAATTGAGTATTTTAATTTTCAAATTTCCATGTGCTTTTCGTATAGGTAACTTTCGCTCCATCTGGTAGGCTTAATATGCCCTGGCCACGAGATGTAATCGATCCCGGATATGAAGGATACATTGTAAAATTGATTTTCGTGAAAAAAAAGTGGTGTTGATTTGAAAAAAAATTGAGTATTTTAATTTTCAAATTTCCATGTGCGTTTCGTATAGGTAACTTTCGCTCCCTCTGGTAGGCTTAATATGCCCCGGCCACGAGATGTAATCGATCCCGGATATGAAGGATGCATTGTAGAATTGATTTTCGTGAAAAAAAAGTGGTGTTGATTTGAAAAAAAATTGAGAATTTAAATTTTCAAATTTCCATGTTCGTTTCGTATAGGTAACTTTCGCTCCCTCTGGTAGGCTTAATATGCCCCGGCCAGGAGATGTAATCGATCCCGGATATGAAGGATACATTGTAAAATTGATTTTCGTGAAAAAAGAGTGGTGTTGATTTGAAGAAAAATTGAGTATTTTAATTTTCAAATTTCCATGTGCTTTTCGTATAGGTAACTTTCGCTCCATCTGGTAGGCTTAATATGCCCCGGCCACGAGATGTAATCGATCCCGGATATGAAGGATGCATTGTAGAATTGATTTTCGTGAAAAAAAAGTGGTGTTGATTTGAAAAAAAATTGAGAATTTTAATTTTCAAATTTCCATGTTCGTTTCGTATAGGTAACTTTCGCTCCCTCTGGTAGGCTTAATATGCCCCGGCCACGAGATGTAATCGATCCCGGATATGAAGGATACATTGTAAAATTGATTTTCGTGAAAAAAAAGTGGTGTTGATTTGAAGAAAAATTGAGTATTTTAATTTTCAAATTTCCATGTTCGTTTCGTATAGGTAACTTTCGCTCCATCTGGTAGGCTTAATATGCCCCGGCCACGAGATGTAATCGATCCCGGATATGAAGGATACATTGTAGCATTGATTTTCGTGAAGAAAAAGTGGTGTTGATTTGAAAAAAAATTGAGAATTTTAATTTTCAAATTTCCACGTTAGTTTCGTATAGGTAACTTTCGCTCCATCTGGTAGGCTTAATATGCCCCGGCCACGAGATGTAATCGATCCCGGATATGAAGGATGAATTGTAGAATTGATTTTCGTGAAAAAAAAGTGGTGTTGATTTGAAAAAAATTGAGAATTTTAATTTTCAAATTTCCATGTTCGTTTCGTATAGGTAACTTTCGCTCCCTCTGGTAGGCTTAATATGTGTGATAACACTGACAACACACAATGTATATAATTTTGTGTAGATACTATAACACCGTTTTACATGGGAAGACGGTGCCGCACCGCCTGCTTACGCTGCGCCGGCTTCGCGGCTGTAGCGACGCGCGATGGTGTCCAGCGCAACGCGGCCGCTGGTGAGAAGAGGGACTATCGTTTGTTGCTGGCTGGCCGTTGTTGCTAGAGTCACCGCGGTCTTTCTACCTCTCTTTCCTTTGGGCGCCATCTTACGCTTTCTACGAACCTGAACTTGCTGAAATTGGGTTTTCGCTTTATCAGATATAGGTGACAACTTAGAAGAGTCAGAATCAGATGTTTCCCCAGACATATAATCAGGTGCAATGCCTGAATAATCTGAAGATATGTTTGAAGCTTTTTGTTGCGCTAAAAGAATTCATCACCCGCGTTAGTAAAAAAAATAAAAATATGAGCTAAACTTACCTGAATTTAACGGCTCAGCAGCTACACTTAGCTTCCTTGCATTTTCCAGAATCATTCTTGTTGAATTCATTTTTTTCACTCTAAAATGACTGTTTTCTCGTAGCTGCTACTTAAAACGTGTGCATTATTATTCTCCATTACCTCAAATTATGCCGCGAAATCTATAGTAAGTCAAACATGCTATCTATACCTTCCATGAGTTTTTCCACCGAATACTAAAGTAACTCAATTTGGTAAAGGTTTCGCCGGCGACAATGTCGGTTATTAGACTTACTATACATATAACTGGGGTTGCCTATGCCTTTATGTCTGAGATACCATATTCGTCCACCAAAGAGAGCCTAATTATACCTATCGATACAATATAGTAAGTCAAAACCAAGGATTCTTGAGTTACTATAGTCTTCGTTGCAGAGGTCGAATATGGCTTATGATACAACCCCTATGATGTACAGTAGGTAACAAATGAAAAAGCAAAGTGGCCTTATTATAAATCCAACGTGACGTCCGCCGCAACATGGCGATTTACGTAATATTTTTTAACAAATGAAAGGGCTTGATGAGAGAAACACTATAAGCAACATGACGTCGTTCTCAATCCAATATAGCGGCCGCCGCAAAATGGCGATTTACATTATTCACAGTCATCCCCATGTTATGGATATCAGATCAGGATTTGATGGGAGACACGCAACGAGCAAAGTAACGTCATGACATGGGTTTAAGGGATGGTAAGAAAAATGTGATAAGCAAAGTGAATCCATTCTAAATGATATATGATGATATACTTAGCTATCAGATTAAAGGGCTTAATGAGAGAAACATAAGCAATGCGATGTGATTTTGAATACAATATGGCGGCCACCGCAAAATGGCGATTCTAAATTTCCATAGTCGCACAATATTATAGGTATCAAATAATAAGTACATTAAAATATACATTTTTAAAAACAAGCCTTTATGAAGCTGTTTAAAACATCAACTAGAATTAAAAAATACTTAGCCCGATTGGAAATATTTGATTACGATAAACAAGGTCGAATATCAAGTTCCCAAATTAAAGCGTGTTAAGTTTTGACAGTAGAATCGAAAAGGTGTATGACTCGCTTTTATTTGAAAACTTGATATGAAGGAGCCGCATTGTGGCCTTTATATTTCCAATCGGAAAACATTATCGTTAATTCACTTTCTTAACAGCTAAATAAAATCTTGTTCTTAAAAATGTATTTTTTTTATTTTATTCTTAATTAAAATTCTGTCTAATAATGTAATGCTCGCGGCTCTCTCGAGAGACGAGAAAGATCTATGCTTATAAAACGAATAAATAAAAGTATGCAGTTACCTGGTATAAAATGTGGTATATATCTATAGCCAAGAATGTACATGTAGACAGGTACGCCATGTTTTGAAGCACTTTCTGCATGTCTTCCCACAGGCAGTGTGAACTGATCATCCGTGCAAAACTACAAATATTCAGATCTTCATACAGTATCGCTCACACGTGCCATCTATGACCAGAATCGACCACTGAGAGAGTGAATAGCACCGTCTATTTGTTGCAATTGTAATATTTGGTTCGCTTTGAAAGCCAAGTTCTTGTTGTGACCGTTTGTTGCCGTCGATTCTGGCTATACAATGTGTTTGGTCACGAAATACAGATATTTGAGAGGGACATTTTTCAGCTATTTTTATCGACAAATTCACCCTCTACAATGTTCTACCTCACCCAGCTTGAAATGGATCCATACCGCTGCGAACGAAATTAGGGCTGTCACGGATATGGTCTGCCACTCAGCACGACACATTGGTTTGATAACAACAAAGTGCACAACCAATAATGGAGGATATTTTGAACATCTTCTGTTACATTAAACATGTCCAAACTCTCTATAAGAAACATTGATTTGACATTTTTATGTATAAAAGGTTTGAAAACAATTTGCATCTTATTACACCCATTTTGACCCATGTTAGATAACATTTATTGCTTAACCTAGAATACTTAGGATAACAGAAAGCTGTAGAATTAGCACAAAAAAGTTCAACTTCACAGACTAGTTTTTGAATGATGTGCGGAAATGCACAAAATAATCAATTTTCTTCCATATTTTTTTCTGTTTTTTTGTCTGTTTTTAAGTATGTTTGACGGTTAGTAACCAAATAAGTTTTTCAATAATCGCTAGGACAGCATGTCATCCTTCAAATGACACCAAATTTATCATTCTGTGACACTTACGTACTCAGTTATTACAATTTTCATACATGCACTTCCGTAATCGTAACGTACTATAAAAATAATAATGACTGTCATTTCAAGGGGGATGAGGTAGAACATTGTAGGGGGGTGGATTTGTCGATAAAAATAGCTGAAAAATACCCCTCTCAAATATCGGTATGTCGTGACCAAACACATTGTATAGTAGATGACAGATCTAGGTAGTATTCAAGTACTCATTCTTTTGAATCCTATTCAGAATACATTTGGCTGGTATCCGTAACACGATGGGTCTTTAGTATCTGGTATTCATCAGAATACTTTTTGGTCAATACTACGTGCTCGGGATTGTGTATACCATTTCTGAATTCCAATATTCGATTACCCACTTTGTATTCAAATCCCTATATTTGAATCCTGTATTGAAATACTGCTTTCGAATAATGTTTAGCACAAACAAAATAGATACGCAAAGTTATTTTGTTTGCGTCGACGGTGGTGCTTCTGAATTCGCATTGTCGTCAGGTAGCTTCAGGAAAGAGATTAGATTTCGTTTTTATTATCACTATACATTGTGCCAGGTACATTTATTTTATTATTAAGGTTTTTTCTGTTGATTTTCTATAAAAATCTAATTAAAATCAAATAATGTTTTTTATTATACAGTTGATTTGTCTAACCTCACTGTTAATGTTATTTTAAGTTTTATTTAATATCATGTACCTGCCGTGGTATTTCAAACTCATTAGCAAATACAAAAAAAAACAAGTAGTTTTGTGGTAAAAACAAACGACAATCGTGGGCATGTCCGCAATTAAGGAACATGCGCAGAAATATAAGGATTCGTAATTTGAGTACGTTTCTGTTTATTGGCTTCATCAGGTCCAAATGGATGTGCATCGAAAAATCTTTGGTTGATGCTTCGTAGACACGAAGACTTCGGATCGAAGCCACAAATGTGTCTGCTGGTGTGCTCTAATTGTATTTCCTTTTTCCATCGTTGTTTTCCTTCAGGTTGAATGAATGTATAAAGAAATTGTTGTTGAATATAGCCCTGAGTCCCAGATCCTTAACATTCTGGGAATCCGAAGATGTGGTCCCCAGTATAATCTGTCTGTAGTAGTTCAGAGCCTTACATGCAGGTGCATGGTGTTATGGCCAGATAACAGTCCCACCAACATCATAAGGTTGGCTCTAACACTAGGCCCTACGATGATTCTTTGCTAGGGCACCACTAGGGCTGGCTCAGAACCAACAAGCTTGCCCACTGATCCTGCTTTCGCGAGAACGTCCACAATGTTATTACCCTCCATCCCAGCATGCCTTGGTATCCATTCCAACGATACCGGATGCCTCGTTGCTAAACTATTAAGAGCCTCCCTGCATTGTAATACAAGGCTCGAAGTAATCTTGCAATCACTTAAGGCCTTCATCGCAGCATGGCTGCCGGAGAAGATTGTTATTCTTTTTCTAGTCCCTTCCCCTTCCCAAATGAGGAATACGCAAGCCAGGATCGCATAGATTTCATTGAGGTTACTCCGGTATCCAGATGTGGTGGGCATGTTTTCACTTAGGTGTTTTCGATGCTCATCCGTTTGGATCTGATAAAGCCAATAAGCAGAAACGTACGTCGCTGGGGTTACCAATCCTCCTAATTCTGCTCCTGTTTCTTTATTGCCGACATTCTTACGATTACCCTTTGTTTTTCGTGTTGTTTAACAAAATCCCTATTGCAACACCCTTCACTACTTACTCTGATTAATGCTGGTAAATCCTTCGAAAAACTTTTATTAGTATATAACTGCTTAATATCTTCACCGGTTTGGGATCGGTCATCCACATTGAAAGTATTCTGTATCATATTCGAGGGATATCGATCCCACACTTTGGCCTTACGCTTGATTTGCAGTAAGAACTTCAAATATATTGGCGAAAGACATTCCTCGTCGTTAAAACCAAACAGAAGTGGGACTCTATGGAAGCGCCCGCTGTCTATGGCATCAGTCATTGGCTCTGCTGGAACGAAATCTTTTGTCATAACCGGCGCCCAGTCTCCTGTAAGACTCCCTTCATCCGACTTTATAGGAATATAGTGCATCTGAAAATTGTTACAGTTTCAGAAAAATCATATAGCCAAGCCAAGCATTTTATCAAGTCTCGTTAAGCTTTTGGTAATGGACTTGCATGATCAGCTGCATACATTTCTACTGCCAATCTGGTTTCAGACCATTACACAACACCACCACTGCGCTCCGGTCTATGTCGTCTGATATATGTATGTATATAGCCAGCTGATTAAGGAAAGATGTATTGACTTTTGATCCTGATAAGTACAAGCTTGAACAACATGAAATAAATCAAAATCTGTGCAGTCTATTTTTGGCATATCTTGTGCACATAATCTAAGACTGAATGCTGTCAAATCTTGCTGCATTTTATTTGGTACCAAAAATAACGGCAAATTAAATCAAGGTCGCATTAATAGTATGGTGAACAACGAGTGCAAAAACCATAGTATCTGGTTTGACTGCAACCTTTGCTTAACTAAATACGTTAACCAACTATACAATGTGTCCTATAATGTGCTTCGTCAGTTATACCCGAGTCGAGGTGTCCTCAAGACAAACTCTGCGGATCCCTAATGATACAAAACTCATGTATCAGATTGTCTTATGGAATCCGTAAATTTGATCATATTAGTGACACTGACATAATCAGAAATAAAATACACATTAACACTGATATAGTAGGTACACTTATAAGCAGGACTATATTTATCAATACTAAATTAAAAATAAGTTTAATAATACTAATTGTAAAAAATAATAATAATTACTAGTGACTCCCTAAGGTTTAATATTTGAAATAGACATTCTGAGTTCTTGTTCTATATTTAGCTGCGATCTATATTTGATCTTCAAAACAGCCACCGCCGAAAATCCTGTTTCGCAAAGGTAGGATGCTGAAAATGGTAGTAGTATACGAAACGCTCTGATTTTCAGTGCGGAAAACTCATCGTTCACGCCTGCCCAAAATTCAAAGAGGGATTTATTATTAAACTGCTTTTTTTATTTCGGCGCATGCCGTCAAGTCTATGAAGATTTCTTCTTCAGCAGTTGAGAGCCCTTCGGGAGTAATTTGAAACGGCTTCCTTACCCACTCGTAACTAAGTATTAAATTGTCGTCGGAAAGAAAATATTTTTTAAAATTCTTTGTCAGCATCGCATGATTTTCAATGGTTATGAAAACAACTTTCATGTGTTGTTCTTCAACCTTGTAAGTTTTAATACATTCATCCACATTTGCAAACATTTCCAATTTTTTTTGCTTTAAATTTCTGATCCGCAATTCCAATTTTCTACAGATAGCGTTAATGTTATCACTCATATCCAATATAGGTGTATATGTGTTTGCTTCTTGAAGCTGAAGGTTCAAGATGTTTAGTTTCTCGAATATGTCGACCAAGTAGCTCAATTTCATCAGAAATAAACCATCTTGAAACATTTCGGCTTCCGGTCGTTTTTCTTCTTCTAGAAAAACGGCAATTTCAAGTCATAGTAATAATAATAATAATAATAATAATAATAATAATAAGCCTTTATTGCCCAACAGCTTATCGCCAATAACAGAGCAATTTATAAAAATAGAAACTTTTCAGTCATAATTCACAAACACGTTGTAAACATTTCCCACATGATAACCATCTTGTCTCGCAACAGAATAGTATCGCTGAATGTACTGGACCCATATAGCTTTACAAAGTGCAGAAATGATTGTAGTTTTCAAAGGTCTAACTTTGATACATACGACCCTTAAGTCGCCATATTATCTTTATACAAAGGTATCCCTCCTCTATCAGTACGATCGAAGGTCCTCGAGGAATACACCCATCTTACTCATCCCCCGCCAATCGACAGCATTGTTCACAAGTAGTTTCTCATACTGAGCACCCAAACTATATAATTGCTTGTCAATGTCAAATATTTTTATTTTACTGATGCGCATTCCCATTCAAAAGAAAATAAAAACGCGTGTTAACTATTGAATTCAAATCTTGAGTGACACTGTTGAGGTAATGACAACAAGTACGCTTACCCCAGCTGCTTTCAAAAACTTATCAACCGATAAACTTTGAAAATGTTTCAGCAATTGGACTGAACCATTGTTAAAAGAATAATCTTTTCCCAATCTTCTTCCAACATCGAATGCTTTTTTCCTGCCATCTTCAATTATAGCCCATGGAGCTATGCATGTGCCACTGATCATGATACCACCTTTTACTGACGTTATTTCTGCAAAGAAAAGTAAAAAATATGATGAAAAATACTGCTATCATAACATCTTGAAATGGCCGGTATGTAGTGGTCATATGGGAAAACTACCGAGACGCCATTATCACGATTTTTTCCCCAATATCCAATTGTGACCTTGGATCTGACCTTAACAATGATAACCTTCAAGATCATGTGAAGATCAAGTCGATTTTTGTAGTAAGGGAACAAAGTAAACTTGTGTTTGACCTGGAAGTCCAAGGTCAAGTTCCGAAAATGGTCAAGAACATACTCGAACATAAAATTTCCCGTTTTCTCCATTCCTGAGGTCCATTAAAAAAAGAGTTGACCACCAAATGGCCTTTTAGGTCATGAAGAAGGTTAGATCTAAGGGCACCATTGGATATCCGGTGAAAAAACATGGTAATAATGTCTGGGTAGGTTCTCTATACGACTACTGGCTTTCAAGTTATATTACCGTACCTGAGTTTGACCTTGACCATGACCTCCAAAATTCAAGAATGGTCAACATCATGTTTGAACGTAAGCGTTTCCACTCTTTTCAATAAAAAAATCGGCTTGACCTTTGAATGACCTTCGAAGTAAAGATCAATGTCAAATCCAAGGTCACCATTGGATAGCTGGGGAAAACTCCTACCAATTCCGAGGCTTAGTTTTTTCCACCATTATTAGTTCACAAATTATTGATGGGTTCCGGAATCTTACAGACATCCTGTACACTGAACTAGTATCAGTAAGTTCTTATACATATTTTCCTTCTCAAATGTTCGAGTAGAATAAAACTTATATCGTACCTCGTTCTTTCGACAGCAGATGGTAACCCACAGAAGCAGATCCAGCACTTTCACCCATGAGAACAATATTATTAGGATCACCACCAAATAAGTCAATGTTGTCTATAACCCATTTTAATGCTAAGTTTTGGTCTCTAAGTCCCAGGTTGGGTGGTATTACTTCGTCTTCCGTTGTTAGAAAACCTTAAAAAACATGTTAGAGCAGATGCTGTAAAAAGCGACTATGTAAAGTATGAGTAGTCTGAAGATTAATAAACTAGATGTCAACAGTGCATTTCACGAAAGATTTGTAGGGGAAGTACTTTTTTGAAATATAGGTGTTTTCCAACAAGTACGAGACAGCTGTATACAAGGTGTCCTCAAAGTTGGGACTTCCCTTCATAGAGTGTATAAACAGGTCAGGCAATAATAAGCAAGTTTTCCCAGTAACACAATAACCAAAGCCTTAAGATAACCGAGATATAAAGTTTCGAAAAATACGATGTTTTGTAACTAAGTCAGAATCCACATCAGGCGGTACGATGTGTAGATTAACCCAGTTTATAAGCAAACCGCATTTATAAACCGAAATTGGGATATTTCCACAGCAATACCGTAGTTATCGATTTGATGTTAGTTTACTGTGAGCGTCTCCAAGATCCTATTGATACTCCGCGAGTGTATTCCAGTATTTAGAGCGTCGATATCGTCCTTGTTATTACAATCAAAACTACGTAGGTCAGGGAGGCCACAGTGAAATACTTAGACAGCCCAGGTGTTGCTTTAGGAAAAAGTAAACAAACTCATGTTTTTGAATCGAACAGCGACAGCTTCAGGTAGTCACTACAAGCAAAACATGTGACACGGCAGTATTCAAAATGCCGTACTAAATAAATACTATTCTCCATTACTTTAAGTTTTAGGTGTTCTAGTTCAAATTAACATTTTTTATTTCAAACGTTGTTTCTAATAAGGAAAGCCCAACTGTCAGGACATCCTGTATCGTTGGCTGGAACAACAAAAGCAGTATTAGTCAGCTCTTCAATCGCAGGTTAACCTTAACTTTATTGCTAACCAGTGGATGTTTACCCTAAAGTAAGACTTACCTTTATCCATAAGAAAACCGCATTGTTACTTGGCGGTAACAGGACATTGGTGCCGATAACACGAGAAACAAATATCGAACATCTCTAAACGCACAGAACACGATAGTTCAGAAGCAAAACCAGCGTTGCCACATCAACAATTATGTGTTAGCTAACCAGAACTTGGAAAACCAATTCACAAGTGATAGTTAACTTCCAAGTTAGGTTAAACAACTTGATAGTTGACCTACGATTGGAAAACTGGACCTTATTATATAATGCAGTCATACCTAAAGCTCCTAGTCGATAATTCATGGTCGCTACAGTTTTCGTCTATAAAAAGTCCAGGGTCATATAGTTCCAAAAATCCTATTCCTAGTAACATATGTGTTCCAGATCCGAACTGAAAACCACCTCCATGGATCCAAAATAAAACTGGTAGCTTTTTGTGCGGTTCCTTCTTCGCCTACAATATGATAGCAATAGACTCGTTGGGTTGTCTCTTCTTTCTGAAAAACTACAGGGTGGCCAACATACCAGGTGTTTCAAATTCGACTCTCACCCCTAGGACCTCGGAAATAATAATAATAATAATAATAATAATAATATTTATTCACTCAATGTACAAAGATAACAAACAATATGAGTAATAAATATAAAATCAAAACAGGCCCAATAGAAGGCATCGCCTGTACATGGACCAATAATTTAAGTTGAAACTGTAGAATGCAAATGACAAAAAAGGACAAAAGATGACAAAAATTAGCTGCAGTAGATTATGTATTTAGTTGATGTTCGTATTTATGAGTTTATGAATTTCAGTCCTAGATATAGAATGTAGCCACTTTTTTAAATTTCTTTTGAAACAATTTCCGAAACGTAAATCTTTTAAGTCTTTAGGTACAATTTCATAAAATTTAGGCGCTAAATAGAGATATGATCGCTGCATTATAGATTTATGCGGTTGAGGAACTACTGTGCCACGAATTTTGTACCTGGTTTAATGATTATGTTTAATTTTTTGGTCGGTGTTTACAAATTTATGGTAGTGAGTGATACTGTGTAAGAAATAAAGCTGTCTTATATCATACATTCGAACATCTGCGTATAATTTTTCAGTGGGATAAAGTTTCGGTTTTTTAAATATCATTTTTAGAATACTTTTTTGAAAAACATCTAAATTATAGATATGTGAGGAACATGCAGCTCCCCATGCTAATATACCATATGTGAGATGAGGCTCAATCAGTGCATGGTATAATGTTCGAAGATATTTTTCTGTCAATATATTCCCAAGGTATTTAATTTTGTAGGATACAAATCTAACTTTCTTTAAATAATAATTGACATGGATGTCACATCGTAAGTGAGGATCCAAGACCACTCCAAGGTATTTTATGTTGGGCACTCTATTAATTTGCATTTTTTGATCATTAATATTGAAGGAGAAATTTGTGTAATTTGGCAGATGTCTAGCATAAGATCCAAATGGTAAAAAATGTGTTTTAGAGTAGATAATGCTTAATTTTCTACTGTTAAACCACTGAATAATTTTGATAAAATCATTTTCAATTACATTTTTCAGATCAGACCAATCAGTGCCTTCATATAATATTGCAGTATCATCTGCAAAACTAGTTATTTTGACAACACAATTAATTTGGAAAATATCATTTAAATATATATTGAATAACAGCGGACCTAAGACAGTTCCTTGTGGGACACCACACTTAATATACATTTATTTACTAAATAATCCTGATATCTGCACAGATTGTGGGCGATTTGACAAATAACTTTCGATCAGTGAGTACGCGTTTCCTCTGAAACCAATTCTCTCCAATGCTTCTAATAATAATTTGTGATTAGCTGTGTCGAAAGCTTTCTTTAAATCAACAAAAATGCAGATTGAAGGGATTCTGTTATTAATATTTTGATATATTTGATTTACAATTTTAGTTATTGCGTCCGATGTAGCCTTCTGTAAATCCATATTGATTTTCACTTAAAATTTAGAATTTTGTGAGGTATCGACTCATTCTAGTAGATATAACTTTTTCAAAAACCTTTGCTACACTGGATATTATTGATATTGGTCTATAGTTGTTAACATCTGTTTTTGTTCCTGATTTATGTATCGGTATTATATTACCTTTTTTTAAAATTGAGGGATATATGCCAGATTCAAAGCATTTGTTGATTAGGTAAGTGAGTGGTTCTGTTATGTCCTCGGCTATAATTTTCAAATGCTCGCTTTTAATACCATCGAACCCAGGACTTTTCCGATTTTTGAAGGACATAACAGTGGTGTATACTTCACATTGCTCGACATTATCCAAAATAAATGAGTTCAAAGTTCTTTTTGGAGGCTGAGTATTTTGTACATTTGCTTGTATATTACTTGCTAAATTTTCGCCTATGTCAGTAAAGAATTGTACAAATTCATCGCATATCTGTTGAGTATTTTTTAATACTGTTCCCGATGTTGAATTTAACTCAGTGACACACTCTTTAACTTTTGTTTTCCCAGTAATCTCATCAATAGTTGTCCAAAGCCGCTTAGGATCATTTAAGTTATTATTCAATTTATTTAGGTAATGTTTTCGTTTGGTTTGCCTTACAAGCTCTATAAATTTATTTTTATATTGGTTGTAGCAGTCGGTATTCTCTGTAGTTGGCGTTAGTTTCATTACATTATATAGTCTTTCTTTTTCTATTGCCGATGTTATTAATCCTTTGGTAGATAATCCAGGCATTTCTGCTTTTCTCTTTGTGACTAATTATTACTTTATTGGTACTAATATCTATTAGTTTTTTTATTTTCTCTATGAACAGTCCCATTGCTTTGTCTATATTATTTATAGAGTATAATTGTTCCCAGGATTCTTGTTTGACATTTGATATTAGTTTTGAATTGTCGACAAAAAATTTGTAATTTTTCTGGTTGTTATTAACGGTAGGGATGTTAGGATGTTAGAAATGGTAAGAGATACGAATAATAGGACATAAATGCTTGTTTACTCGAACAGTTAAGGCTATCTAAAAAGATTATTCTTTCAGACAGATGAAGTTTTATAGTCGAATGCAAGTCACAACATGTGCAACATCACATTTTTAAAATCGGTAATATGGACGGCTTACCTGTCAAGATTATAAATACTGGAGAAATGATTGTCTAATAATATGAAACAAATGACTATGTGATAAATGCAAGAATTACTTAGAAACAAATGTCTTTTTTGAACTAATATATTTTGACAATATTGAGATGTGACATATTATACATTTTCGAAATCAGAATCAAACACTCCATTCACCTATGTAAATATCCATTATGGCATCCTTATGAACAAATAAAGTTGATGATGGAGGACATGCTTACGGAACACCGTATTGAAGTTCTAATATGTTCCAGCTAGTGGAGGAGAAAAAGTGGTAATGTTAATATATGATTTATCTTGAACTTCTATCTCAAAGTCCTAGACAAATATAAAGGCTACAGAAAAATTCGGTTTATCCGATCATGTACCCGCGAAACTTTCCAAAAGCCATTTCTTAGTCAGCTAACGATACAACTTCACGCTCATTTATGAACCCAAGAGCTTCAGTCGAATTTGAAATATCGGTCTAACTAATTTGTTTCTCCGATATCTTTGAAACGAAATAAATTAAGTCAATATTATATCTTGATGTTTTACTGGAAGTTAGAAGTACTGTATAGTTATTGCCCTCCTTCGTGAACAGCACATTGCTGATCCGCATTTAGGTCTATTCATACTCAGCCGTGACGTTACAGTGCCGTGACGTGCCAGTGATTCTCGCTGACGTGAGCTCACAGTGTTTTCAATTCACGCCGGTCAGTATTTTTGTCCGTGCTCTGGCAGTGCAGTTACTGCATTAATTCTGGACGAAGAAGAAGAATAAACGAGAAGAAAATGGAAGTCCGTGTATTTTGAATTTGACTGGTTGTACAGCACGGATGTGCACGCAGAAGTTTAATTAGTTTTTCATTATTCATGTTTTTGACCAAAGATATCAAAATATTCACGAAATTACATAAAAGCACGAAAATCGAAAAATATCGTTTCAAAACAATGCGATGATCACGGTACGGCGTCGTCGAGGGCACTGAGAACACGGCCACTTCCACGTGCCGGTCTAGTGTGAATCAGTTCATCCAAATTTCAGGCAGAATGTTTTTAGTTTCGCCGGGCGGATCACGTGCCGGTCACAGCACTGTCACGCCACGGCTGAGTATAAATAGGCCTTTAGACGATGTCATCTGGCTACCAAGATGACCGGACTCAACAACTCTATACGCCTTTTTGCAGCAATTTAAAACTAAGCGCTCCAGAGCATCAGCTGAAAAACAATATTAGTGGAGCTATTAAAATATTCTTTCCTTAACTTACCGAAAAATGGAATCAAAGATAATGTTAATAAAAGCCAAAAAACGAAGGTTGAGACCTTTTTGTTTTTTGATTCTGGATTTTTTCCGCCGCCACTGGATCTACTTCCAAAAACTATAAATCCTTGGAATAGAAGTAACTTTGTGTAAAAATTTCATCAAAAGCCGAGCAGTACTTTCCAAGTTATAGACGGGCCAAGGATTAGACATAATCAAGAGAAATCAAGTTTATGCAGTGTCTAGAGAAAAACATCTATGTGATATCGTTTTTCATACATAGCTTCTAACGTTGAGTAAGACGCCGAGACCAAAAACTGGAGAAACAAATCGGACAGTTTTATGTTGGTCACTCTGTACATGTGAGATAGATTTCGATAGACATTATTTTTTACCATGGGAGTGTATACGTTAAGAACCAAGCAATCCTCAGTACCAAAAATATAATGGCCCTGTAGAAGTGGATCTTGAGGGCATACTCTATTCTTCTTAGTAGCGTTGAAGATGCCTTCCCATGGACGTACAGGTTCAGGTTTCTGGAAGAGATTAACTGTAATCTATAGTTGGTAAATAGGTATCTCATACAAATTTCTTCGAGCAAACTATTCTAACGAGAAATAACATCCTATAAAGTATCTAGCCAAACATATAATAATAATAATAATAATAATAATGATAATAATAATAATAATAATAATAATAATGATAATGATAATAATAATAATAAAAATATAAATAAATAAATAAATAAATAATATAACCCAGGGTTGGATCACACCAACTTAAAAGCAATCGTAAAGCAGAATACATCAGCACGATAACAAAACTCCTCAACACCAAACTTAATTCAAGAAATCTTATAATGGCAATAAATGCTTGGGCTGTGCCAGTGCTGTCATTTAGCTTTGGCGTTATTGAATGGAGCGATACAAACCTAGCAGAAATCGATCGAGAAACTAGAACATTACTCTCCAAATTTCATATGCTACATCCAAAATCGGCCACGGAAAGAGTATACATACCTAGAGCCCTTGGGGGAAGAGGACTGATAAATGTTGAGCATCTTTGCAAAGAGCAAGTGTCCAAGCTTCGTCGATATTTTTGCAACATAAATGGCTAAAACATTAGGAGCATTACAGCTATGGACAGTAACATCACCCCCATGAATTTGGGTAGAAATCATGAATCCTCAGATCGATCAATACCGACGTCGACTGACCCGCTCAACAGATGGAAAGAGAAAGCACTTCACGGGAGATATCCTGTAACACTTGAAAAAGATGGAATTGATAAAAAGTCCAATTTTTGTGAAAGGCTACCTACATACAGAATCGGGGGGTTTTCTATGTGCTATTCAGGATAAGGTTATTCGAACTAGAAACTATAAACGCCATATACTAGGCCTGAATACACACGGCGTATGTAGAAAATGCCATACGCCAGGTGAAACAATAGAACACATCACCTCCAGCTGCAACATGGTGGCCAATAGTGCTTACTTATCCCGGCATAATCAAGTAGCCAAGCTAATACACTCCACGTTAGCTCAAAATTATAATCTCATTGAGTCAACCGCGCCATATTATAAATATACACCATTCCCGCCATATTATAAATATACACCATTCCCAGTACTCGAGAATCAGTCGGCCCTATTGTACTGGGACAGGCCAGTCATAACCGACAAAACAGTTGACTGTAACCGGCCAGACATACCACTGATAGATAAAAATAAACGGAAAGCATACATAATTGATATCGCAGTGCCACTCACAGCAAACATAATCAGAACCGAATACACCAAGGCTGAAAAGTATCAAAACCTTGCCATTGAAATCAAAAACATTTGGAAACTATCAGAGGTCTGCATAATACCAGTAGCAGTGTCTGTGGAAGGGGCAGTCTCTGTAAATCTCCACTCTCACTTAGATAAAATCAAAGTTCCAGTGCATATTATTGCATTGATGCAGAAAGCCGCAATATTGCGAACATGTCACATAGTTCGCAAGTTCTTCGCAATAGGCTGAGGTGAATTCCTCCCCTGTTGTGTACATACCCCGTGTGTAACGGTGAAAGACCAACCAATAATAATATTAATAATAATAATAATAATAATAATAATAATAATAATAATAATAATAATAATAATAATAATAATAATAATAATAATATTAATAATAATTGTCTTTAAGGGTTAACCAAAAGACGGAGTTCACATTGCGTGCTCTTCCACTCAACCTTACAAAGATAGAAGAAAATGGCGAAAATAAAATAAAAATAGAGAGAAAGAGTTAAATGTTTCACTGAATCAACTAAAGGACAAAAATTGAATAATATACATATATGGTAAATCATTCTAGCTGTTTATACAGCCAGAAATAACACGCCGGAGTGACACGGCTGGTAGATTGGCTTCGAATCAATCGGATAAAATCAACACGACCTTATTAAAAGTTTTCTATTTTTCAAGACATTGCCACTTTAAAGTTATTTCAAAAAATCTTTTTGCTCGTCTTTTTACCTGTTATGGCTATGAAGAACTTCTAACTTAGGATTTCTTCCTTGGCTAGCATTAATGGTATTCGTTTCATTGAAAACTAGCACGGTACGCTAAAAGTTCCTCGTGGTGACATAATTCTACCGACCGAACGAGATAGTCTTTGACATGTTTAGGTCATTTCATTCCTAGTGATTTGAATGCAAGAGACGGCTGCACTTATTTTTTATTTGTAGTATTTCGCAGGTATTACGACTTCAATGACAAAACTTGGAATTATTCAATTTTTAGTAGAAAGATCCTATAAATGTTATAGATACTATTTCTAAAAGAGCATGAAATAGGCTAGTTTTTATGATTATCTGCCGGTTCAGACTGTTTTTTCACAGTTATTAGTCAAAGTTTAGTAAATGTTTTCACATTGAAAAAAATGTAATAATTTATTTAGTTGCTAGTTTTCAATAGAATTGATAGTCGGTTTTCTGAACCATTAATGGTTGCTCAGGAAAAAACATAAGTTAGAAGTCCTTTACATCCATAACATGCATAAAATGAGCAAACAGTATGGATTTTTTTGAAAAAACTTAAAAGTGGCAATATCTCGAAAACTACAAAACTTTTACTAAGGTCATGTTGGTTTTATCTGAGTGTTCTGAAGCCAATCTACCTCCCGTGACACACTGACGTGTTATTTCTGGGACATCATGTATGATATATAAGATTTGATTGTGCTCTTAAATGAGAGTTCTCTCCGCCCCACGAGCTCCTGAGGCATATAGTCCTTAGCTATTTGGTAGCTGAAACTCCTTTCATATGTAGTGGTTTTATACGTAGGAAGAATGATGAGGACTTTGAATCTAGTAACAGTAAACTTCTGATCCAAATTTAATTTTTTCATACAGGTAGGCAGGTCTCTTTTGTGTAATAATTTCATGATATAAGGTAATCGCAAAAAGATTAAATCTGATTTTCATATTATTCCACTTAGTTTCTAAAAATGTGATCATATTTTCTAGTTAGTTTAACTTCTCTTCTCCGCGATCCTCTCTCCCTCAATGACCTTTAGGGAAATAAATACATTGATAATATATTTTATTTCTTAAATGTATCAAAACTGATAATGTTCTATCAGAAATTTTGACTGGTTTTGTTAACAAATGCTTATACTTACCTGTAATCTTCTTTTCCCTAGAGGAGGCTCTGCATAAGGTATGTTAGTGAAAGACCGGTAGGGTCTTCCTTTGTGGGAACTCCTACAGTCTCCTCTGATTTTACTATTAGCGGGATTTCGCAAGGTTATGGTAAGGTCCTAACATGGAAGCATCTAGTTATCAAAATATTAACAGCTCATACCTCATTCAAAACCCAATTTAGGATAAAGCAATGCTAAGGCTTGTTCAGATCGACACAAAAAAGCATAAAGAAACCTCGTCCGGAGAAAAAAATTGTTTGAACAAATTTGAACAGGGTTACCATCAGGCAGCCCCTTGAATCATCTAAAAAGGGAATAAAAGATGTAATTATGAAAAAATCCAAAGCCTTCTCCCGAGACTGTGAGGTTTCCGTCTGGTCTAAAAGGTCAAATTAATGAAAAGATATGTTTTTTCCTATTTCGTTTACAGTAGAATTGCTAATTTCGAGATGAGATTCGAAGTTGAAATACAACAGTTTGAAGGTTCACAATAGACAATCAATACGTACGTTGCAATGATGAAAAAAATCAAATAATGTATATGTGTAAAGCGGTAGTAACAGAAATATTAAATTCGTTAAAAGTAACATTCTCAAAATGACACTTGCGGGCTAAGGCAGTTACATTGTTTCTTCGCAGGTACTTATATTGATGTGAAAATGACTAATAAAGGTGCATCGGAGTGATGACGACATAATAATTAATTACTTCTCCATATCAGGAACCTAATTTTGCACATAGGCGCACCTTGTTTCCAACCAACAAACTTGAACTCGGAGCCATTAACAATCCAACACCACTCACATTCAGAATCAATGTTCATTCAAAATTCTTCTGAACTAGATGCTTAATTACATACTACAAATTGCTAGTGCAAACGGAATGCAAATATGTGGTTATGTCCTTTTATCTGTATGCCTGTTATTTTGAGAAAGACTGTTCTAAGCTTTTGTTTCTCATTTTTTGATGTATACTTGTGAAAAAACTTTCACAGAAAAGAATTCATAAGAGTCAAATCACACGTTCTTGGAGGCCTAGTAATTTATACAATTTTAAAATTATGCCAGTCGCACCTTTACGCTAATATACTGTGACATTAGAAGCGTTACAACCAGAAAATGAGGTAGTCTTACATCAAGAATGAAGCGATAACATTCTCCCGATACTTTATTGACAAGTAAGTAAAAAAATTAATAATGCGTTGGGCGAACCGCAGCTGAATACACTCCTGCATACGTCTAGGTATCGACAAAATGAGATGATCGATGTCTGGCTGTGACTCCTCATTCCAAGCAACTCAAACTTCGTGGATTAGCTGTGTGGCAGAGTCTATGACGGATGGTGCAAAGTGGATAAACTCCTCCCCATCATATCCCACACATGTTCGATGGGATATAAATCCGGTGAACGAGGTGGCCACGGCAAAACGTTAACGCCTGCTTCTTGAAGAAAGTCCGTAGTACGCCGAGCAATATGGGGACGTGTCTTGTCTTGCTGAAAAAGGGCGTATGGACGGCCCTCTAAATACGGTAGTAAAGTAGTTTGTAGGACATCATCAACACAACGCGCAGTAGTCATATTGCCTTGAACAAAGAGAAGGAGTGATCGGCTACCATAGGCAATAGCCCCCAAATCATTACTCCAACAGTCCTGCGTACATGCCTCTCAACAGCAAATTCAATATCACGTCGTTCTCTACGGCGGCGTCTTAACCTTCTGCGGCCATCCTGCGTACCTGACAGAATCGCGATTTGTCACTGAGGGTGACATTATGCCATTCTGCCTTCCAATGCTGCCGTTCTCTGCTCCAGTTCAAATGTTGACGACAGGGGTTCGCAGCCAGAGGAAGCACTCACCGTGGACGGTATGGAAAAAGTCCAAATGCTCGAATGCGGCGATAGAGTTTACGCATTCTACCTTCTTCTCCAAACCATTGGTCAGCGATCTGACGTATAGTAGCAGAAGGGACTAGTTGTCTGAAGCGTCTATCTTGATGCTCTGTGGTACGCATCGGTGGATCAGTTGGCATTCTTCCTGTTCCTTTAACTTCTTCTATCCACACACGACACACACACACATTGCAGTACAATTAACACGGCAGCCGATTTCGCGATAAGATAAACCAACATCTCAATAGGCAATAATCCTACCCCTGTCAAAGTCGCTGACAAGGCGATAATTTGGACTTGGTCTTCGAACTCGAGACATTTTGTTACGCTTAACGCTAGTAAGTGAAAGCGCAATAACTAGAAGATAACAACAAAGATAAAACGTTGTCATTGTTGCCACAGCATGCTTCAAATATAGTCATTATTTTGCCAAAAAAAGAGTTGAAGAAATTATTTTTCTGGATGTAACACTTCTAATGTCACTAAGTATGGATAAATGGTTTGTTTTTTGTTTGTTACTGATGAAATATCTAATTACTGCTGTCATCCGACAAGCGTGAGCTGAATGGTTTGATCGCGGTTGATCAGACATGAAGGGATGTATTCTGGGAGCGCGTAGCTGAGCGAATTAGAGTGCTCTCGGTAGCGCTAATCGTGTATTGTGTGCGGTATCTTTGCACCTTTCATGATTCCATTAGCTTGATTTAAGTATAAAATAAGAAAATCAATTGAATTTTTACATAGTTTTTTATTCTTCAAACTGAACTGTCAATTGATGATGTATTAGCTAGTGCCTCGAAGGCACATGTGACTCCAATGGTCGCCATACAATTTCTGCACAGAACAGTGTGATTTTTCAGACGAGTAGTTGTTTAGTATTTCGATGAAATCAGAATTTTTCCATAATTTTTTCCATTAATGATGACTTGCACAAGGAGAGTACCCCTAAATGTTAAAAATGTAGGCCCATGAGCTTGATGGAAGTATGAAACGACATTTTTATCTAATTTTGCGATAGATACAATTTAATCTGCAATTTTCAGTGTCAAATTTTATAGCTCAGTAGGTACCAAAACAATTATAGTAAAAACTGATAAGATACTATATCTTTTGACATTACCAAGAAAGGTAATTATCAATTTCGCTGTTACTATATCATCACTTTTTTAATTTGTCGTTATAAATCAGACCTATCAATGCATGTAAGGAGCTCTATGTACAAAAAAATATAGTTCATTACTTAATTTATTTATTTGATACATTATTATTTTATCAGAAGATACAAAATCTTTAATAAACAGATGTTGGTTTTTGTACATATTTATCATAGACCTCCTTTTTTGCGGTGTAGTTTCTCATATCAGAAAGCACTTCTAAATTGACATCTATCTTCATATACTGCAGCTTCTGGCTGTCAAATTTTGGCCATGCTAGGTTTTGGAAAAGCGGATCTTCACCAACGACTGGCTTCCTGGAAGGAATAAATAATATGAAAATTTTGTTTCGTATGAAAATCTTTCCAAAGTTATTTCCCAAACTTAGTTAACGTGGTTCATGTGGCTATGAGACATAATATCTATGACAGTGATCTGATCGCCATACTTGTCACCCGTGTACGAATCCCTATGGCGACATACCACAGCGATCGTCATTTAAGTGATATTATAGAACATACAGCTTACGCTATAGAAGCTATGAATGGATTCTGCTAGCACCAACTCCAAAGCACATGTAGCTCAAATATCTTGAAGTTTAGGCAACACTTTCAGCTACTTCAAGTGAATGACAGCTAGTTCCAAAGTGACAAATATGACTCATTTTGCAGTTACGTATTAAGGCCTGGATCATGGATCATGAATGACAAACTTATATATTGTAATGTAAACACCGTTTTTACTCTAAAGTCTAACTGCGGTATCGCCAGCCATTCCTACAATTGTAGGACGCCTTTATGGCCCCCTTGATTTTCATAGTTTTCTACTGTTCCGTGTCACCGCAATATTTTGAGGTTATGTCACATATATCTATTTGCATGAAATTGTTCATACTTTTGATTTATGTCATCTGTTTTATCAGCCTGAAATTTCCTACAATTCAAAAAGAAAACATAACTTGACGATAGAAGAGCGCTGAAGCTGACACGGAACAGAAAAAATCTAGAAATATCCCAACCTTTCTGAATGAGAGAAGGAAGGCGTCCTACAATTGTAGGAACGACTGAGGATACAGCCCTAATTTAGTACCTACTATGTCGATCGCCACTTCTCAATGCCGGTAGGTGTTTCCTAAGTGTAAATATTGTGCAGGCGTCTCATCGTTGCTCAAGATCCCAGTTACTATGGCGTTACAATATTGAGAGCATCAATATACGTCAAATTTTACGCCGTCTATTTTTTTGTTTTTCAATTATATAAGAAAATATCTAACAAAACTAAGATCAAATGCGGAAGACATTGGCACGTCACTTGTACTCACAAAACAAAGGTATCCGTTTGATGGCTTAACAGAAGCATGAGTGCCTAAGGTGGTAATGGTATATACGTATGTATATTCCTCTGCACTGTAAGCTAGGGTCTACATGTTATGAGATGAGTATACTTATAGCTTGCATGATAGCTTATGAGTTCGCACATCTTGGCAATAATAATCTCATCAAGCTTTGTAGTTCTATCTATTTTCATTAGAGAATGGCAGATGGATAAACAGACTATGACATAATAGCACTTACTTGTATTTTACAAAATTGCTCAATAATTTCACCATTCTCTTTCTTATCAGCTCAAAATTGGGGATTAGCTTCTCGTTAATCGTAGTTATCCCCGAATTCCAATAAAGGAACAAATCTTCGGCGTGAGCAACCCCTTCTACACCTATAGAATAAATAAACAAAATTTCAGACTTTTTCTCACAAAGAACAATCTGGGCGTAACAGGTTGAGTAAATCAATGTATTCGACAACATTGGTTCGTTGCTGCCCGTCTGGAAGCATATGATTTGGTAAAGCGGATACAGGTGCTGCCAATCACACAACCTGTGAGTGAAATGTAGTTGGTACGAGGGCTGTCTTTTAAGTTTTGCATATAGAAACATAGTAGGCCGCGCGGATCGAACGTCAGTACTGAATCTTAACCTCACTCTTTAGTAAACTTAAATTCAAAGTTTCACAACAATACGTGAATTTTTAAGTGTCACCAAGTCATTAGAAAAATGGAACTCAACCGAGAACATTTTCGCGCCATAATTTATTACAACTTTCAGAGACAATTATCGCAACAAGAATGCCTTGCTGAGTTACTGTCTGTTTTCGGCAACGAAGCGCCACATCAGTCGACAATTTCCCGTTAGTATGGAGAATTCAAACGTGGACGGGTAAGTCTTAGCGACGATCCCAGGGTGGGTGCACCAAAAACGGCAGTCACCCAGGAAAACGTCGATGCTCTGCGCAAACTCATTATTGAAGATAGACATGTGACATACCGCGAGATTGAGGCGTCCTTGAAGATCTCAAAGACCTCAATTCCAAAAATTTTACAGGAAGAATTACGAGTAAGAAAATTAGTTTCTCGTTGGATACCCCACCTGTTGACTGAAGAGCAGAAAGCAGCCAGTGTTAATTGGTGTCAAAAAACGCTTGACCCTTTCAATTCCGGAAACTCAAAAAATGTGTACAGCATTGTTAGTGGTGATGAATCGTGGATTTACTGTTATGAACCAGAAAATAAACGACAGTCGGCTGTTTGGGTGTTCCAAGGTGAAGAAAAGCCAACAAGAGTCATCCGTTCTAGAAGTGTTTCGAAAAAGATGGTCGCGACAACAATTCCTCTTAATGAGCAAAGAACTGTTACTGTGTATTGGTATACCACCATTTGTTTGCCAAAAGTCATCACCGAGCTTCGAAAAATCAACCCCGAAAAAGGAATCATCCTCCACCAAGACAATGCAAGCTCGCAACATAGCCCAAACAACAAGGCAGTATCTAAAAGAAGAAAACGTGGAATTATTGGACCATCCTCCATATAGTCCCGATCTAAGTCCCAACGGTTTCATTACTTTCCCGAAAATTAAAAACAGACTGCGTGGTCAAAGGTTCCAGTTACCAGAAGAAGCAGTTGACGCATTCAAAAATGCCGTTTTGGATCTGCCAGCAAACGAGTGGAATAAGTGCTTCGAAAATTGGTTCGAGCGCATACAGATGTGTATTAATCTTCGTGGAGAATACTTCGAAAAACAAAGTCATTTAAAACTACCTATCGTGTTGTTTTATTTCCATATGCAAAACTTAAAAGACAACCTTCGTATCTAGGGTCCGACCTAAGTAAGGTTTTCATCCGTCGAAACCGTGTTGTTCCCATGCGCGCCGCCCCATACACAACGCAATTGTTCAACGGAGAGTGGATTTTTATTTTGGGTATTAAGGATTAGGGTATTGTTAGTGAATTGTGCATTCTAATAGCTTATATAACTTCCAAACATTAAAAGTTTAAAACTTACAGCGCTGCATGAATATCGCAACTGTCAACTTATTATTACTTGTTCCTTAATTTTACTCATGCAGAGTCACTATATATGAAATATAGAGTAAGTGTAAGGTATGCGGTGGATGGTGCCATCTATTTAATCAGAATTGTACAATGCCGGTCTATAAAGTCGAGTTGGAGGAGCCCGCTTGCGGTCAGCAGTTTTTCTTTGACGATCGCACCACCTTGTTACGCATAAATAGTGGCGCCAAAAGCTGCAAAAGTATAATTTTACTTTGTAACAGAGATCGACCACGCAGTGTTGCCAATCGGTCAAATAAGTTTTTCGGAACCCAAATTTTAGAGAAACTTTTTGGAAAGAAGACCTTACTTTCGGAGTTTTAAGAAATCCTAAGCGTTTTCTAAGATTTATTGAAAGTAATACCGGCAATACCGTAAAGATATCCTGAAATGAAACACATTCGATTTGAAACTAAAACAGTTCAACACCTAACAATTATCCCTGCCTTCCCTTGTGTCAGTCGTTTAGACTGAGATAGATAATACTCTGGTTAGCTGGATGACTTGCCATCAACAAACTCTTGGCAACTTTATTAAACAACTAAGAAATAAAAGAAAACCTATTCCCCAGTCGCAAGCCAACATCTACTTTCCTGTTTGTCTAATTCTGCTAACGGTAAAATGCTAACTGCAAATCAGTTTACCTGTTTCATTCTTTTTCATGAGGTATTTTAGCTTCTTTTTTTCCAAAAGCGGGTTGAAGTAAATGGATCTTCGACAAAAGGTGTTCCAGTAAAGATCAGAGAATATTAGAAGCAATTTGAAAAATTAACAAAAGGTTTTTTTATATACTTAAATTGTGATTCCAAAAATCAATTTGTAGTGTGCGCTACCATCCCTTCCCTCCCCGCTCCAGTGGTTGTGACACATTTGTCTAAATAGAAGGACCCGAAGACATTTTGGTTGCTCTTCAGTTTACAACAACAGCTCACAGCACTTTCCTTTTGATACCCTCCCCCCCCAGACGGTACTGCTGGCTACGCTCATGGTTGTTCCGAACAATCTTTGTGCCGGAGTAGATTTCTTTCTAATAGGTAGTCTTTAGAAGTGGCAACGTGGTAAAAAGTAGCTCCGTATTATTTCACTCGTAAGAACGATTTCTATCTAAGAAAGAAAATTATTAATCGTTGGCAAGTGTAGCATAACGCATAACATCTGAAAGCAGAAACTGCGTGAAAAAACAGGTGATAAACATATAGGTAAGTTACAGGAAATATCAACTGAATTAACCCTAAACGTTATTCAAAACAAGGTATCCCTCAAACAAATTCCTAAGCTAGGTTGCCAAGTACTCGTAACGGCCTGGGAAATCCTGACAATAAAACGAGGATGAATACTAGGTAACAGTTCAAATTTAACAACTACAGAAAATGTAAGCAAATCTAACAATAATAGCGAGATACACATACAGGTGGACAAAAATAATGTCAATAGGGTTACTCAGGAAGAAATACTATTGGATGTTAGAAACAAACTGGCTAGTGATAAAACAAGGAATGAGGAATTAAATGTAATTAAACTCAACTAAATCACAAAATCGGCAAACTGTAAAGCTCATTTATTAGTAAGGGCTTAACAATAGAACATACATTTTCCGCCGCAGCCAAGCCCTGCTGAGAATAGGAGCACACTTACTGACACATACGATTTGGAGTGGAGGTGCTCATTGACGACATTAGGGAGGAAACCCATGTTGAACGACAACTTGTCCCAACAGAGGGCACAGGAGGAGTACCCTGTAGACCGAGTAAAATTCTAATATTCGGTAACGAATATGCAAGAAACTTTAGGAAGGTACTAGAATTGTATATAGATAAGTCTAAATTTTCAATAGAATCTTTTGTAAGACCGAATTGTCAGTTCCTAACGGCACACATAAGGGGTATTTGAATTAAAAATCCGGAAAAAACTCGATTTTGCAGAATAGCTCGTATCGCAAAACTGGTATGTGCCTACGATGCCGGAACAGATGCTAGAAAAAGCCCCACACTTTTTTGTTTACCGACTGCTATTTCTCGCCAGTAGTCTCGGTGCGAATTTGATCATTCTTCATTGCTCACGTATCTGTTCTTAGCGAATTTATTGTGACATGGCCGTTTCTGAGGCAGGTATCTACAACCTATTTTGTTAATTTTAATTATAATATTAGCTGATTTATGAGAAAAAATGACGTTTTCGCGAAATCTGCGAGCCCCTTCCCACTTCAATTGGCCCACTTCAAGATTTGTACCAAAATATGCCTTTATAAACTAAACATGACGAAACTATTTACTTCTAAAACAATTTATTTTCTCAAAAACATTTTAGATACACTCTAGTTATAAAAAATACATATTTGAAATCACTTAGACCTATAACTAATAGAACATCTGAACAAATAAACAATGTGCGAATAAATGCGCGAAGTTAACAAAGCAACAATTGAAAGATTACCATTAGGTAACATCACCTTTATTTTTTATTACGGCTGAAATTCTTTGGGGCATAGTGTTAACCAAGTATTGGCAAAAATTTGGTGTAAGACAATCCCATATTTCTTGAAGCTTTTGTCTCAGTTCGGTGATTGTACGAGCAGGATGTTGTCGTAGAACCTTTTTCATCTCGTGCCACAAAGTTTCAATAGGTAACAGATCTGGACTGCTAGAAACCCATTTCAAAAGTGGTACATTATTTTCTTCCATCCATTTTATAGCCTTTTTTGAGGTATGGCTCGCTGCACCATCTTGCTGAAACACAAAATCTTGGCCGGATGTGAAACATTCTTCCATCACTGGTAAAAGCGATTCTTCTAAAATTGCCAAATATTTGTTTGTATCCACATTTCCATCAATAAAATGAAGTTTTCCTACTCCTTTTGATGACATACTGCCCCAGACCATAATGGATGCTGGAAATTTCACTTTTCTCTTCAGGCAGTCAACATGGAATGCTTCATTTTTTTGCGAATAACTCTACTGCGACTGTCACCAACACAAACTTCGAATCGGGCCTCATCACTCCATTGTATTGCACACCATTGTTGAGGTGTCCATTGTCTATGTTCTTTAGTCCATCCAAGCCGATTTTTTCTTTTGCAGTGGAGTTAATAGTGGCTTTTCTTTGGCCTATACACAAGTTGTGCAACTTTATTGTTTTTACTTCACATTTTTTTATAAAAAAACTTACCTTGCAAGTGCTAAATCCCAGTTTGTGGGCCTCTCTATGAGTTGTGGACCTCGAAATTCTCCTTCCAACAGCGTCATTCCATAGAGCACTTAATTGTTAATAATTGGCACGCCTGTTTTTCACGATTATTCTTCTTAATGCTCTTCGGTCGGCATTTGTGATATTAC